AAACTATTTTTTTTAGAGGGGGGGGGGGGGGAAAAAAAAAAAAAAAAAAGTAGTGCAAAGCAGCAAGAGAACAATAAAATAGGCATTTTTTTTTCCCCCCGTTTTATCTTGTTGCCAAAGGCACTCACGCATGCAGACAAGCGGACCATACATGTTCACCCCTCCGTTGGAGAAGATCATGCAAGAAGCTTTCCAATCCAGATTTTTACCTGTTGAAGCATTTCCTCTGTAGCATTCAGTTTCAACTGATGCCCCTCAAGACAGATTTCTAAGTCCCGGATTTTCTCTCCTTGAGCTTCCACCTGGTCTGTAAGAACGCTCACCTGTAATTTGAGAAGAGAAGCACAATGCTACTGAACTGACTGTAAATAAGTTTCAATTACCTTATACAATTAACATCCAAATGCACATTTTAACAGCAAGTTCTCTTTTAAAGTCCTCAATGGTTTAATATTCTTGTGCTCTGCTGCAACCTGCTCTATCAAGGTAGACAATTTTTCAGTCTTACCTAGATTTTGCTTCAACCCCACCCTCTGACTCCCCTTCCCCCCCCCCAGATGGAAGATTACCTATAGGTAGCCTGAGTCAGTTCATGCAAAAATCTGAAAAATTAGAAAGCACCAAACAAGAACACAAGATATTGAAAATATTTTAAGTGGTTTTGGAGCATGCATTGCCATTTCAGGTTCTGTTGGCATTTCACTCCCTAAAACGGATAAACAATAAAACTGTTCATTCGGAAACCAACCAACTACTTTACTTCTCTCAAGAACAGAAAAACAGCTTACCTATCAATAAAGCATTCTGAAGTTATAAAGAATGCAATGACTAAAAGGCATGTTTTAGCAGCAGCAAAGTTCTATTCCAAGAAAAATTCCCAGGCTTTGCAAGCCAAAACATGAAAGCAAAAGAAGTGAGATACAGACAATGAATCCCAGGAAATAAGCAATACCGGTAAAGAAATGTGGGAATGGTGGTACGGACCAGTGGGTGTGTAATAAGAAAAGCCCAGCAGCCTAACTCAAAGCTTGCAAAACTGAAAAGAAACTACACTCAGGATAACATTAGAAAGATGTGGAAAAACCCCCAGTGTTAATTCCTATGTTAAGCAGCACATACACTCTGTATATTCATTGTTACTATTTGTTTATATAAAAGCCTTGATTATACTAGAAACATGTTATCTCAAACAAAAAAGCAACCTTAGGTGTTTAAACTCCAGTTTGAATGAAATGCGTAACAAAAACTTATCTATGCTCTCATATCCAACCTTGCAACACCTTTATTTAAACTCAAAAAAAAAAAAAAAAAAAAAAA